TCCCAGTAACCACATGGTGGCTCACAACCATCTGTAATGAGATCTGGTGCCCTCTTCTGGCCTGCAGGCACACATGCAGAATACTAAGAATACTGTATCCATAATAAATAAATAAATAAATAAATCTTTTTAAAAAAGAGCTAGTGGGACAAGCATAAGATAAAGTTGAACATTCATAATTAATAAATCTCTGTGTCATAATTTGGGAGCTGGTTGGTGGCCAAATTAAAAAAAAAGCCTGATACACCCATGTGTTTAGGATATGCATTTTACAGGGGATATGGATGAGAAATGACTGCAAAATTGGCTGTGTGAGATGGAAGCTATGTGCACTGTCAAATCCCTAGCATCTACAGTGGTACTTGGTGTATAGTGATTACTAAATTAATAAATTTCCAACAATTAAACAACCCAAACTTAATGATCACATCTGTCACCATTTCACTGGTGAACGTTGTCAGGGACTTGTAAGACCCATGATAATATGGTAATGGTGGGCATTTAAACTAGTCCTCCTTTCAAACAGCTTTTATTTTTTCCCATATATTGAAATGTAAATTATCAATACCGATAAACTAAATTGTTCTATTTATTTAGAGTGTGTGTGTGTGTGTGTGTGTGTGTGTGTATGTGTGTGTGTGTGTTGTATATACACATTTCCCTTTATGTATGCAGAGGCCAGAGAAAGAGATTGGGTACCCTGCTGTATTATTCTCTGGCTGAACTTGGAGCTAGATTGGTGGCGTCCATCCTGTCTGTGACTGTAGATGAACATGGTGGCCACAAATAGCCTCTCTGCAGATGCTGGGGATTTGAATTCCGCTCATCAGACTTGCTCATCAAGTGAGCCATCACCCAAGGTCACAATCTGAGTTCTTGAAATCAAACTCTCGCTGCTCCGAGAGGACCGTTCTCCGGCTAGTCTTTCTGGTCTTGCGGGCCTGGTCATTTTGAGATAGAAATTTTGCAGTGATAAATTGGCTCTGCTGACATTTCTGGAATCTGGCCCACGAAGCAGAAATCTTCCATGGAACATGAGGCCTGGAAGAGACAAATGCTGCTCAAACATCCAGGCCCTCAGAGGATAGCACTTCCTGGGTGCCCATTTCATCAAAGCCTGCTTGCTGCGGCCCCTAAACCAAACAACACACAACCCCTACCCCAAGCCCTCATGGTGCCTTATCTCCGATCCTTCTTCCTTTACTCCTCTGCTAACGCCAACCAAGATTCTGTGCAGTTTGCGGTTGCTAGGCCAGTTCTGACCAGACTGCTAACTTTAAACGGTGTCATCTCTGACAAATGACTGTCGGACATCACCAGAACGTGACTCGTCGCCCTGCTTCAGTGTCGCTGGAAAACATCAGCAAGCATCTCAGTCCTTTTCCTTGTGTGGACATTGGACGTTAGCGTTAGAACCGAGGCAGTGAGGAAACAGCTAATGGTCCCCACTCTATCCTCTTTAGGTGCAGCCATGGACATGGATGGTGGAGATGTTAAGAGCAGTTTGGGGTAGAAAGAAAGCTCTCTTCCTCCCCCCCCCCCTTTTCTTTTTCCACTCAGTGCCTGGCTTCCCAGTGAAGGCAGACTCATTGTGCTACGCTGGGCTATGACAAAGCTGGGCCACATCATCCCTGGTGCGGCTCACTCACAGTTGAGGCCTTTGTTATCCTGTGTCACAGTGGGGGAGAGGATGCTGCGAAGGCCTCATTATAGGCCTTTCAGCGAGCGGTTCTGAGTTGGTCATTGCGGTTCTGAGTTGGTCATTGCCGTCTGCTTGCCCCCTTGCTCTTCAAGCCAGTCACATTGCTGAGACTCACATAGCAGCCGATGCACATGCAATGGACCTTGCAGGTGGACAGCTAACAGGAGCACAAATGGTTCTGTTTCAGAGAAATAATTCTGGAGGAAAGGGAAAGCTACCTTTCTGTGAGGCCGCAGAACTCATTCTATTATTTCGTTTCTACCGACTTGTTCCCTCCCCTTTCCAACCTGCTAATGTCCTTCCCCGAAGGCCGATATGATTTTAGAGGTACACCTCAGGACTTGGTACCACGGATCACGGATTTCTAAAACGGGCGAGCATGCGTCTTTCCTGTCTCTTGCAGGTAGTGTGGTGCAGCATAGTTTTGTCTTGTTGAAAACCTCTTGTCTTACTTTGAACTGGGGGGAATTATGCTGTTATCCACGAGCCCAGGACTCTCACCAAAGAGCTCTCAGCTTGACAGGCAGTTTCTGTTGAGGACACCTGCGGCCATGGTACAGTGCAGCCATTGTTCCTTCTCCAAGAGCGTTGTGAGCAGAGCTGTGGCTTTTAAAGCCTGGGGTCGAGTCTTCCCGTTTCTTCCTGCCTGAATTTCGCTTTCAGTGGGACAAATTCCTGTCTATTCTGATTTTGCTGGCTGATACAGATTTAGCAGGTGTGTGTGACTCATACATGTGTTACTTCTGAGGGTGAATGCTGAGGTATCTCAGTGGTAGAAGGAGCTATGTACAGGGTCAGAGTTGAGGCACCCAGAGTGAGCTAGACTCAGATGCCGGCTTCCTTGGAGTATGGCTGAGGCAAAGCATTTGACCTCTCTGGACATGGGCTCTCTTCTCTCTGGACATGGGCTCTCTGGGTGCGATCACCAAGGCCCCTAGGATTAAGATTCTGCCACTGCACCCTTTGTTTCTTGGGATGCTTAGAGCCTCCAGGGCGGCTGAAGACCTTGGTACTGTGAAACTGTTAACTCTTCCTAGGAGGGACTTTTAATTAAGGGATGGGCTTGTGGTAGGCTACTGAGAACAAAATTCGGGTAGAATTTTCTACCTGTGGTGGTAACGTTGTGGAGTGGAACAAGAAACATTTCTAGGACAGTATTGTATGTCAGCCTGAAGTGTTACTGCACACTGGGGTTTTTAATTTCTGAGTGAAGCGCTGCACAGTGATGCCCCTTCAGTGGGCTACGTGGGACCAGGAGTCTTTCAGATACCTTTTTTTGTTGTTGTTGCTGATTTTGAGATATTTATATAATGAGATATCTTGAGGGTAAGATCCAAGTATAAACAAAAATTTAATCTCTGTCTCATGGTACCATATGCATGTACCCTGAAGGTAAATTGATGCATTGTTTTGGAGAATTTTCTACATGAAACCAAGTTTTATATCATGGAATTTTCCACTTATGGCGCCATGTTGGCATTGAAAGCATTTTAGGTTTTAGAATATTTTTAATTTTTGTATCAGGGACGACCAGTTTGTACTGAGTTTAGGTGAATAATACTTCATTTATTAGCCCTTATTATCCTGATGAAAGGCAGTCTACAGAGAAGGTGAGTATAGATGGATATCCCAGTCTTGTTTTGTATTCTCTTACTCTTAAAAAAACCCTAAAAAATTGTAATTGTGGAAACCATATATGTTAATTGTATGTAAACTGGAAAGCATCAAAAGGGAAATAGAAATACATTCTAGAAATGCCATTATTCATGTTTTGATGTCTTTAGAATATCCATGGGCTAGTCTATGCTTACAGGTTTATTATCTTGCTTTCTTTGGTTTTTGGGACTGAAGTTTCAGGTGAAGGTAGAGATTAATACGATATTATTTCTGGCATATTTGTGAGGGTTGGTTGATGGATACTGTTTTGACTTACAGAAAAAGAATTGTAGACTTATCTCTGAGAATGGTATTGGTCCCATTCCTCCTTGCATAGGCTTTCAGTATTTAGAATGTATAGATGTCATAGCTACTGGTATAATTAACGCTAACACGCGAAGACTTCTTGTCTCTTAGCTCTTACTGCTCGAGAATTGCTGTCAGAAGATTGCCTCATTTGATTTTTGGGAGCTTAAATTGTTGGCCCCAATATTATTCTGCATCAGTTATTTTAATACTGACTGTCTGAGTGTCTTTGATCACTGGCGCTAAAGTGTAACTCTGTAGTGGTTGACTAGTTATGGATTGCTTTTATGGGCATTCAGTATACAATTGGTAATATTTATGGATATGGTACATATTTGATAATACTTATGGATACAGTGTCTATCTGATAATATTTGTGAATAAAGTATACATTTGACAATATTTATGGATACAGTATGTATTTGATAATATTTATGAATAAAATATACATTTGATATTATTTATGGATACAGTGTATATTTGATAATATTTATTAATAAAATATACATTTGATAATACTTAAGGATACCGTGTACATTTGGATACAGTGTACATTTGGTAATATTTATGAATACAGTATACATTTGGTAATACTTATGGGTACAATATACATTTGATAATACTTATAGCTTATTTATTGAGGATTGGTTTTGTACATAATTTCCTCTATTAGGAAACAAAAGATGTTTAGTTTCTCTTTTGTTGTTCAGCCCATAAAATTGTGGCACTATTTACATTACAATGAAAATACATTCTGATTACTAAAGGACACAAAGCTTGCTTTGTGGTTTCTACTTTGGTGTCTTTGTGGTGTCCTTTGAAGTTCTGAAATGTTTCTCGTGTTTGATTGAGATTAAATCTGGGTTTCATTTTGCTTTTTTGAAACATATTGAGCAAGTTAATTTTCTGTTTGAGTTCCTAAGGGGAATGACTCCAGGCCGCCGTGTCCCAAGAATTCAGACTTGGTCCTGCCAGGACATTCCTGTGGTTTTCCATGGGGCAGATCAGTGTGTTCATGAAATTTTAGTTGTAGCTTGTGCTTTCCGTGGTTAATTAGAACATCTAGCTTTAAAACTTTCCACAGACAGAGGGCATCACCGGTCAGAGACCCTTCTCGGTGATGATTCAATGCTCCAGCCTCCAGCGCAGTAGGCCCAGCTTGTGTTTGGGGTACCTACAAGAGGGGGTTCTGTTCATTGAGGATTTTAAAACTTTGGAAGGTGTTGCTTGGTTATGGTGGAGAGAGAGAGAGTGCAAGTGAGGAAGAGAGGGAGAATGTACATGAATGAGAATGTCAGACCTAGTAATGGCTCCCTGCCTTTGCCCCTCCAGGTTGGAGCATCTGTGGGGGAGCTGCTGTGCTCTCTAGCCAAGCATGCTGTGGTCGGATCTGCCCAGCCCTGGACTAGAGACCTTTGCTGGATGGAAAATCCATAAACGAAAGCCCCTGTGAAAAACTGACTCGGACGCCGACTCAAGTGCTCCCAGGTTGGTGTTAGAGAAGTGGGTCTGGCTAGGAGTGTGGTTCTGTTCTTTCTCTAGTATTTAGAGCCAATCCTAAATGGTCACCACCGGTGAATTGAGAGATTCCCAGATCTGTCAGCGAGGCATCCTGGTTGCTTTCTCCATGCGGTAGTTTGTTGTTTCCTTTCCCTTTCTACCCTTGGCCTCATTCATCCTCGTTCTTCTTCCTTTTCTCTCTCACAGAGAGGAAGATCTTCAGGACACATATGAACAGAGGCCTCCCAAAACGGCCCTGCTAGTCTTGGCTTCGTAGTAGGAAGAAAACTGTGTCTTCACTCAAGGCTATATAACTTATCTAGGTTCATACTTGGAGGGCTGGCTCGTTTCTCCTGGGGTCCTTGACTGTTCACACTGTTTGACAAAACTGTAATACTTGCTTTTCCGCCCAAACAAAAACTACTGACCCATTCAGTTTTAGTAATTTGTACATTTGACATTAAGATGATCATATAGAAAGGAAATGCCCCCAAAACAGTAGCATTTAGATGAATGTGTAATCATAGTTCTGTGTATCAGAATGAAATGATGTAGGATTCTTTCTGAGGCGTGCATGGCCAAGGACAGTACTGCAGGCAGCTGTCAGTGGCGGGGGTACTCAGCATGAACGATGAAGACTTGACAGGTCTCCACTAGGAAGGAGGATCCAGCAGTCTGAGAGCCTAGCTTGGCCTTGCTCACCCTGCATCCTTAATGAATCAGTCAGATTTCCCTGAGGGTATTACCCCTGGCCTCACTGTTAGCCTCTGGAGTAGAGGACTCACTGACTCACTCCGGGCATGTGACATAGGCCTGTCCAGTCATGGTCACAATGGTCAGGGTTTGGAGGCCTCAGGACTGTCACTGAAAAGTATTGAAAAGAGCCTTATTCTGTTTGTGAGTTTGTTCAGCTGGAGCTGCTGGAGGCAACTTTAGGAGAAATAAGTTGATTAGAGAAATCAGAGCAGAAAGATACAGGGAGGAGCAGAAAGAAGTTGGGAAAGATGGATACATGAATATCCATACATAAGAACATACATGCATATATATGAGTATATATGTACACAGAGATACACATACAAGTATTCCTAGATAACATATACATATATCCACATATACCTGTACACACATGTATACATATATACACATACATTCACAGATACACATAGACATGCACACATTCTAACACACTTAAATAAGCAGACATACATGTGCCTGTGGACTTGAACTTCTGTCCCTGAATTAGCCCTAAGGCAGCATTTCCTGTTTCACTTTGCAGACAGATTAGCTGGTGGGTCAGGCGACTGTCACATCTGAAACACCCTGATGGCAGTGGCTTCCAGGCTGTGAGGTCTCTAAGTAAAATAACTGTGGGGTAGTGTGCCTTCACAGGGTCAGGGTAGGGCCGGCCAGGGTGGTGAAGTGGACGGGCTTTTGGAGCAGCCTGCTTGGAAGCAGGGATGGAACTCAGTTCTTCCAGTGGTGGAGAGACTGGTAGAGAGGGCTGTTAACAAGGGTGGAATAGGATTTAGGTTTCAGGAACATTTGAAAATCTATTTAACTCAATTACTTGCTTTTTGAATCTAAAAGGAAGGCTTCCCAGAGCCTATACTTAGAGCAAATTGCTGATAAGGAAGATAATTCCTTATGCTAGTAGTGGTGTCTTATTTACTGTAACTACAGTGGCTGGGGAGCAGCCAAATGAGGGGTTGTCAGGAAGCTGCCCAGAGTTTAATAGCCTGGGCAGGGCTGCTGCTCTCACCAAAACCTCCTCTGGCTTCCATCCCAGCCAATCCAAGCACAGTGGTGAGTGCTGAGAATGCCCTCTCCCCAGTCCTGTGACTATCAGACTATATAGTCATTATTTGATTTTGTTAATTATCATGACTTATTTGAAAATTAGTATACTTCTGCAGGGAGTAAGTGTGGCTGTGAAAGAACGGAGCAGTTTCTGTGTAACTGTCGCTGCCTCTTTCCCTATTATCCCTTATGTCTTACATCAGTTTGGCACGTCTGTTAGGATTGATGCAATTCACTGAAGTCTGAACTTTATGTTAGTTCAGTCTTAATGTGGTATATTCTGATTTTTTCTTTCTGTGTGGTTGTTCTATTCTGTGGCCTGTGATAATGTATCCTAACACAGGTAGAATTACACTGGTTAGGTTTTTCTTAACTTGACACAAACTAGAGACATAGGGAAAGGGAACCTCAACTGAGAAATTGCCTCCATCAGATTGGATGAGAGCGTGTCTGTGGGGCCATTTTCCTGACTGCTAATTGGTGAATGAGAGCCCAGCCCACTGTCGGTAGTGCCATTTCTGGGCGGTATAAGAAATGTAGATGAGCTGTGGTTTGTCTGTAGTATTAATTGCATTTTGAGTGTTGAGTCAGCCCTTTGACGCTATCTCAGTATTAAGAGTGTTGGTTCATGAGCTTGTGACACGGAGTGCATCTCCATGTTTTTTAAAGGTCTGGGTTCTCTGGGCGGTGTTGTGCTGTTTGCAGGGTCCCACTCTTGTACTTTTGAGTTAAGTTTATTCCCAAGAGATTTTTGTTGTTGTTCTTTTCGTGCCTTTACAGATAGAATTTATAAAAATTTCCTTTTCAGATTATTTGCTAGCAATATATGTACTGTTGGTTTTGTGTAATGACAACCACATTGTGCTTGTTTCTAAGCACTGATGGTGTTTGATTAGATGTGATTTTCTTAGTGTTGTTTTCAGAGCAGATCATGTCTAGTTGCGTGTCTGCAGCCACTCCTATACTTTCTTTAGGGAAATGACTCTTCAAATCTTTTGTCTGCTTTTATATTGGGTTGTTGTGCTATATATATTTACATATTATATATGTATTATATATTTAAATATTATATATTTACAATATATGCAATATAATATATAAATATATAATATACATAAATTATAATATATAATATAATAATTAATATATAATATAATACACAATATAAAATATATATTTATAATATGTTATAATTAAATATATAAATATAAATATGTAAATATAAATATTTGTAAATATATAAATATAAATATAATATAAATATATTTATAATATATTATAATAATTTATAAATATAATATAATATAAATATATAATACTATAAACGTATATATTTATAGTTACAGTTATAGTTATATAGTTATATATATAAAAACATATATATATTGGGCTGTTGTGCTTTCTTTGTGTGTGTGTGTGTGTGTGTGTGTAAGATTTGCACACATTCCCTCCACTACCTAATCTCCGACTGTGTTCATTAACTTTCTTGATGAAGTCTCTCTTCTGCGTGTGTCCTGGTTAGGTCATGGTTGCTGTGATGGAACGCAGTGGCCCAAAGCCGTGTGGGGAGGAAAGGGTTTCTTTAGCTTATGCTTCCACATCACTGTTCACACAGAAGGAGGGCAGGGCAGGAACCTGGAGGCGGGATCTGCTGACGCAGGGGCCGTGGAGAGGTGTTGCTCCTGGCTTGCTTCCCATGGCTGGCTCAGCCTGCTTCCTTCCAGAACCCAGGACCACCAGCTCAGGGATAGCCCCACCCGCAATGAGCTGGGCCCTCCCCCATAGATCACTAATTAAGAGAATGCCCTCAAATTTACCCACAGCAATGTAAGATGTAATTTCTTTTGTAGGCAATTTTCTGAGTTGAGGTTCCTTCTTCTCTGATGATTCTAGCTTGTGTCAAGTTGTCATAAAACTCGCCAGTGCAATATCCCGCAGTGATACGATGTAAATTTTAATTAATTCTAAATTACATCAATATAGAAAACTCTATATGTGTAATGTTTTTACTAATGGTATTCTTAATGGTCAGAAACTTTTGATTATAATGAAGTTCAGTTCATGTTCTTTTTCTTTTAAAGGTTCCCTTCCGTTCCCTGCCCCCTTCCTGTCTCTGACTCTCCCTTTGTCTGTAGCACAGACTAGCATGAAGTTTGTTATTCAGCTGTCCTCAGACTTGGGATATTCCTGCTCTGTCTCCAGAGAGCCAGGATTGCAGGCACGTGCCAGCATATAGCGCTCACGACTCTGATGGTATAAAACTCTCGGCCTTCACCAAAGTTCAGAGATATTCTTGTTACTGTTTCTTAAAGAGCTTTTATTCTTTAGGCCTTGCAGCTTAGTCTTTGACCCATTTGAGGTTAATTTTTACTAATGCTGGACGGTCCAGACTACCTTGATTTTATTGTTTTGCACATCTATTCTAGCACCTTCAGCAGAAGGAACTCTTTTATCCTCTGCTTGTCATGACACCGCTTAGCAAGCCGGTTGGTCACTCATAGAAGTGTGGCTTGGTCTGTTTGAGTTGCATGCTTATCCTGAGGCCAGGGCTTTTCATAGCGCAGGTTTTCCATGAAATAGATTGGAGAGCTAGACTTTCGTTGTAGCCCACCCGTTTCCATCAAGCAAGCAAACAAACAAAAAGCTTCTGTTGCCTTGGCTGCATTGTATCTGCATCTCCTCCATTGTTTATACCAGTGTCTCTGAGCCTTTCCTTGGCATACGTGTGAGACTCTGAGATGGTACATGACAGTGCAGAGCCAACTTGGTCCATCATGTAGAGGTCGCTGGATTTGCTGTCCTGTCCTACCGTCTTTATTTTGGGCACTGGGTAATGCTTTCCACTACTGAGCTCGGGCTCTACCACTGAGCTATGGCCCCAGTTCTGTGTTACTCAACATCCGAGCAATACTTTGCCTTTCATGAAGATGATAAACAGTTTGATGCCCATTTTCTCTTTGACTCAAACATCAAATTTTCCATGACTCTGCCTTAATCATCTTTTGAAACTGAGAAAAATATTGGCAGTGAGCATAACCTCTTACCTTTACTTTGAATGATTATTTTGGTGGGGGGTGGTGGCGGATAAATTTAGAGGTCCAGAAAGATCGATTCACTGAAGTTACAGCAGAGTTGTATTTGTGAAGTCTCCAGGCTATACTAATTTGACTGTAAACACAAAATCTGGT